CAAGGGCCCTAGATCCCCAGAGAGCTGCCAGTGGTCCCCATATACGCCCACAAATGACCTCCCATTGTACAGCACTCAGGTTCACCACTGCCCCCAGACATAAATGGATGCCCCCCCCCATATCCATAAAGTCCCCACACCCCCACATGCTCTCAGCTCCCCCAGATCCAAGCCAGTTCATCCTGTCAGCCCAGGTGAAAGGCGGGTGTACCAAGGGCCACCCTCGTAGAGGCTGCAGAGCAGTTCCATCACTGAGCTGCCAGGGTGACAGCAGCAGCCAGGCAGGTGGGTCACAGAGATGAGTCCCAGCAGGTGCCAAGCAGGTGTCTCACCTTTCTCCCAGGTAGTCCCCAATAGCGGTCTTGTTCAGTCCCTCGCCCTTGTATAGGAAGCGGGCAATCTCTTCTGGTGTGTTCTGCAAGAGTTCGTTCTCTACCAAGAACTGGATACCCTGGTAGGTGGGGGTCAGGTCTCAGTGTGGAGGGCTAGAAAGCTCCTGTACCTCCCCATGAACCTCAGTGCCCCACACTCAACAGGGTAGGACCTGGTGTACCTCTCCCACCTCCTGACCTGTTCCCCCTTTCCCTGCCTAGTTAATTCCAGCACCAAGAACAGGGTCTAGCAAGGAATAGGTGCTTAATAAATATTTGCTGGATGACTGAACAAACTCTACCTGCTTTCAGCAAGAATAAAGTAAGAAACTGTTAACAGATAGCAGTCCATTCAGACTGTGAACTCAAAGTCCCAGGCTGGATCAGAGTCTCTTTGGCTCTCTCTGAGCCATGAAGACCTCTCCACTACAACCACATTTCACTTTGGATTGTGGCACCTATGTCTAGGTATCTGTCCTGCAGGTAGGACAGGGTCTGACTCTACTCTGGATCTCCAGTATTGCCTAGTACAGGGTCAGGCCGTCTGGAGGCCTCAGCAAATGTGTGTGGACAATTGAACATATGTCTTTGCTCCACCTGGTGAACACCTACTCAACTTTCACACCTGACTGAATATCCCGTCCTCAGGGAAGCCCTCCTGACACCACCAGGATCCTTCTTATGGGTGCACAGCAGCCTGGTATCTCCCTCTGCCATGCACTGGCTCTCTCCTTTGGGCATGTCTCTTTGTTTATAATCCCTATCAGACTTAAGCCCCTCTTAAGATCATAAGTACATTAAAAAATACAAGTAGAAAGGGGAAGAAGACCTTCCAGGCAAGGGACACAACATACTCCAGAATCAGGAGGCTGGAAGACTTGGTTGGTAGTCTCAGAACACACGGGCAGACTGTATCTGAATCCAGGGATCAGGATCCAAGTCTGTCTACCTAGAGAAGACCTGTACCCTTCATAACATTCCTGGAACCTGGAGGTGCCAGAACCCAAAGCCTGGATGTCTACTGGCTGTTCCTAACCCTGTGACCCCAAGCACCTTCTTGGGGTCCATGTTGAATTTCTTCCTGCCCATTGCCATCTTCCGGTTCCGCTGCAAGGTCTTACTGCAGGGGCAGAGAGCGGGGTGGGGGTGGGGAGCCATGGGTCAATGCCTGGGTCGTCTCGCCCTGGCCAAGACCCATGCTCCCAAGTCCCCTGCCCCAGCCCTCACCTGCCCTCGTTGGCCTCCAGACCCTCCACCTCACTCATAGCTTCACTGAGCTCCTCCCGCAGGCGCTGGATTTCTACCAATAGCTCCTGTTTTCGCCTCCTGATGTTTTCCAGCTCCATCCGCTCCTCCGGAGTCAGGTCCGGGGGCTCTGTGGGCCAGGATCAGAGTTTGCAAATAAGTTCTGGGTCTAGAAGCCTAGATTCCTGCAATCTAGGGCTGGGGACCTGGATTCCTTCCCATGTCTGATGGAAGAAGGGGCTGGGGGTCTGGATTCCTCTGTCCAGCATTGGAAGGGCTGGGCCAGGAGTCTAGGGGAGAATGAACCCAGGCTCCTGAGTCTGAGGGAGAAGGGGGAGCCTGAGTGCTTCCGACTGGGGGAAGAAAAAGGATGCAAGTCAGAACTCATGGATCCATTACTTGGAAAGGGTCTGAAGCCTTGGTTTTCTGACTCCATTACTGGTGGGCTGGCTGGGGCTCTGGAGTGGAGACAGGCCTAGACGTCGGGACTCCAGAGTCCATGTAAAGTAACTATGGCAAGGGAAGCCGCTGTCAGCTTGTAAGAGTTGGGAAACCGGAATGGGGCATCGGAGGCCTTCGCCCCCGCCTTAGCGGGATCTCTGTCGCCCGCAAGATTTTTCTCCACCCCCCACCCCACCAGCCCCTCTCCCCGCCCCAGGCAGGCAGTGGGTACTCCAGGCCGCTCCAGCGGGAATGGTTCCACCCCGGCCTCGCCTCCGCCGCTCCATCCCGCCGCCCCCTCCCGCCGACACCGGAAACAGGCTCAGCCCAAACAATGGCCTGGAACGCCCCGCTCGCGGGCCCCGCCGGAAGCCCGTCCCGCGCCGCACAAAAGCTAGGCGACGATGGGGCAGAAGGGCTTCACGCGTCGCGCGTCGGGAGGGGACTTTCGCCGCGGAACGTTCAGGAGGAAACGCTCGATCCGCTCGCAGCCGGCCCCGCCCCTCCTCGACCTACCATAGACGCCGTCCTCCATGGCGGCTAGGAAGGCCCGCGGGGAGTCCGGGGCAGTCCCGCCGGTCGGGCCTGGATCCGCGTTGGCCCGCGGGCTCGGGTGAGCCCGCTCAAACGCCCCGGGAGCCACCGCCGCCTCCTCAGCGCCAGTCCTCAGCGCTGAAAAGACTCTCCCTTCACTGCCCAACCGCCCGGCCAGTAGGGACCGCCCCTCGTTTTGACACCGTCCAATCCACGGCGGGTCCCCTCGTCTGCTCCGTCCCCGACGCTAACGGATCGTTCTCCAGGACCAATAGACGCACAAGAAGCAGATGTAGCAATGTCCGGGTGGAGGTAGACGGCCTGTGAGGCCAATCGGAATGAGGGCAGGGCGCCAGGTCCCGCCTCCGAAACAAAAGAAAGCTCTTGGCAGGCTTGTCCTCCAATGAGAAGCCTCAGAAAGGAGTTGCAAGGAGGTAGGGCTCTGTGGTGCAGAGAGGACTGCGTCTGCGCTAGGACTCCGCACTAGGAGACTAGGTCAATTAGGCCCCGCCTCCCGCAATATGTTGTTAGGGGGCAGTACTTTGTTAGTCTCGTTGACTGGGGCGGAGCCTCAACGGTGGGTTGTTCCCGTGAGCCACACCTCCTCACAGGCCACGCTTGCTTTTGACTGCAGCTGTTGCCATGCAACCGCTAGCCACTTTGGTCAGCCTTTCTTTTTGCCTGGTTCTGCGGGTACTTCCCTTTCTTCTCAATCTCTTCTACAGTCTAAAACCCCTTTCCTTACCACCTCCTATGACCTCCCCATCCACCTCAGCCTCTTCAGAGTCAAGGGATGGTGAAATGACTTATTGTTTTTTCCAAATGCTGCTTTCCTATTTGGTAATTATCACAGAGTGGCACAGTAGTGGAAGGCCAAATATAGTGAAAGCACGGGCTCCGCCTTCCCGGCGCCTTCCTCCCTCTCCCGTAAACTCCTCCCCTTAGCATCTCCCTCCTAAGACTCCTGTCTTCCTCGAGCGTCCTCCCTGACAAGACCCCTTCCCTTAGCATCCTCCCACCTCTCTGATCTCTTCCCTTCCCTTGGTACCTCTTCAGCTTTCCTTATTTCTGGCCTATCCTTCACCCCTCCCCCGCCTGTCCTCACGCTCTTCTTCGCAAACTCCTCCCTCCTTCCAGAATCCGCCCACATCTGAGGCCCTTTGGGTTCTTCCCAGCCTCTTTGGGTTCCATGCAGGGAAAGCGGATGCAGGGTCCCAGTTGGGATGGGGAACATGAGCACTTTTGTAAAAGGGACTGAAGTAGCGCCTAGGCCTCTTCCTCGTTTGTGGTCCCTGGGCTGCACAGGTGGGGATTCAGGGCCAGGACCTGGTTAAACTGTCGGATTAGACACGGAGCCTCCTAATCTCTTCACTGACCTTTATGAGTGGCTCTGGTCCTGCCCTCCCCAGTAGAGTCTCAGGCTGCACGCCAGCCCCGCTCCCAGTCTCTCCTTCCAAACCGAACCACCCTCCTACTCCTTTACCCCTAACTTAACCTTCCTCCCCACCTATTTTCTATTGTTCCCCACTGGATTTCCATTGTCCCCAGTCCCTGTCCCAGGCACTCTGTGCTGGGAGAGCAGCCAGCTAATTAATCCCATCCGGTCATTACCTAGGGATTCTGAAGGATAAAGAGAGTTGGGGAAGCCAGAAGTGGAGACCTGAGTCGCTGCAGCATTTGGGCAGGCTGAGGGCCAGTGACAGTGCCTGACCTGTCTGGAACAGGATTGGGAACATGGCCTTCTCTTGGCACTGCCTCCATCTGCGGCTGGCTCCCACCCCGTTGGGCACTTAGGTGAATGGCAGCATGGACAGAGGCCAGCCCCAAGGGCCCATGCCCCTGAAACACTCAAGACACACCCACCAGGGCTCCCAGGTCTTTAATCTGGGGACAGGTCTCCCCTAAAACACCCACTTTGCCCACAGTGGGAAGATCCCTGGCGTTCTCCTTCCCCAGTCCTCTGAGTGGGATGAGGGAAGTGGGGCCTCTGGCCCTTAGCCACAGCTGCTTGCTGGCTCTGTGATTCAGACACTGAAGTTCAGAGCCAGCCTTTAAGATCATCTCCTATCCCAGCCGCCCTGGAAGGGCATGTGTTCCAGCACCAGAAGGAGTCAGAAAATCTCCAGAACCTACTCCCCTGTTCCATGAAGGAAAGAGTCATCCTGCTGGAAAGGCTCTTGGAGGACTTCAGGTTCCAATGCCCCATTTTCACAGATGAGGAAACTGAGGCAAAGAGGGATATGATTTGCCCAAAATCACACAGTAAATTGGGATTTACAGGGAAACTTCCTGGATCCTTGAAAAGGATTCCATTCTAATTAGCTTGGCCTCAATTTCTAACCTTGTCATAGAAACCAGGGGGAAACTAGATTGATATCTGTATATATTTTTTTTATATATATATATATATATATATATATATATATGTACATATATAATACACATATGTATAACATCTTTAAGAAACAGAGACACATCATTAGGTGTAGTATCCCAGAGCCTTGGACTTTCCCCTTCCCTTGACCACTAATTAGGCCTGCGACATCCAGGTCTCACCCAAACCCTCACCTGCTGGGAGATACCAGAAATGCTACTTAGCAAGTCCTGAGTCCATTTCCTAGAAGTACCAGCAGCCTGTCTGGAGGTAATTAGAACCTCCAGGCTTTGAGGAAGGATACTCTGGATCCCCGGAACTGTGATTCCTTTTTGGCACTACAGAACCACAAGAAGTTAACTAGGATCATCGAGGTTCTCAACTATATCAGGCAATCTTGGACCAGCAAATGGTAAACATCTAGAACCACCACTCCTTCCTTGACTCCGTGATCAACTGAGAGCCACAGAATCCCAACTCCTTTGGACATTCTAGAAGGGCACTTCAAACAGAAACAACATTTACAAGCAGTGCTTATCCCTCAGCTGAATGCTCTAAAACCAGCGGTCTGGAGTTTTATAACACCAAGAACTCCCAGTCGGTCACTTTGGTCCTTCTAAAGCCACAGACTCATCATTGTTTCATGCATTCTAGACACATCACTCTGTATCTGGAGTAGTTCAACTCTCTAGGTCAACTTGTTCTAGAATCACCAGTGTTTGCCTCTATGGTCAACAGAGACTCACAGAACACCTTAACTCCCAGGCTTTCTCGAATCATAGGGTCTTTTCTTGACATGAAGTTGCCTTCTTTTCCTTTGGTCAATGGAGATTGAATACCTGGAGGATCCCTCAACCTTCCCTCCTGAGGTGATCCAGAAAAATGACTTGCTTCTCAGTTGGCTGAGTCAAGAAGCAGTAGTCTCTTGACTCTTAGGTCACTCCAGACCTACAGCTCTTGAACTGCCAACTTCCCAGAGGCAGTCTCTCCCATTGACTTCTGACCCTGTTCAACAACTAGCCCAATCTCGTAGAGGACTCTAGAACCACCAGTCCTTGCCCTTTGGGTTCAGAATTTCTGGATCCTTCAGCTCTGGTAAGACCCATGAAGGGGTCCCAGGAGGGAGCACAGAAGCAGAGGAATTAAGGTCCGGTAGCATGTCTGTGGTGGGCCCACTAGACATGGCAAAACCTCACCAACTAATGATTCAACCAGTAGGCCTGTTGGTCTTGGGAAATACGTGCCCATATCCCAGTAAGAGGGCCCAACCTCTCCACGGAAAGGGGGCACAAGTGGGGAAAGGGACATCAGCTTGTATCATGGGGGCAGGGTCAGTGCCAGGGTTGGTGTAAGAACTCGGGGGCTGGCAGCTCCATCTTCTGTCTCTTCCCCAGGCCCCTCCTTGGCCTCCTCTTCCTCCTCCTCCTCCTGGCAGCAGCTCAGAGCAAGTTCATTTTCATAACAAAATGCAGCCAGAGAGCCAGGGAAGCTAGACTTGGGGCTGTGGGAAGCCTGTTCTGCCCGTTCGTCCAGCTCCTTGGCGCTGCAGACAGGTGTCCCTGGGACCTCATAAGTGCGATGGAAGTGGCGATAGTCGACCTCATACTGGGAGCCACGCTGGAAGAGGACTGGCTCAAAACGATGGCCCCAGAGTAGCTCGCCAGGGAGGTAAGATGAGCGACACTGTGTGGTCATGGCTGTGGCCTCAACCATGCCCTCAAGGATGACCACTAGCTCGAAGTCGGCCCGGGCCAGCTCGGCCCGTCCCAGCTCATACAGAGGACTAGCAGAGTCGATCTCATGCACGATGGTGATGGGGGACACGAGGAAGATGCGATCGGTGCCTCCGTCAAAGCCCACATCCACATCCTGGTGGTCCAGCGGGATGTACTCACCCTCCGGGGTCACTCGGGGCTGCAGGAAAAGGCAAGGAGCCAAAGACAGAGGGCAGGAGCAGGGAGACAGAGAGAAAAGAGCAAAGCCCAACAGGGGCGAGAAACAGGGGGCGAACATGGATCCAGAGGGAGGGGGACGAAGCCTCAGAGCAGTCCAGAGACCCAGGGAGAGAAGGATGAAGGTTCAGAGAAAGCGGAGAGGGGACAGAGGCCCAGAGTAAGAGAGGACAGACACTCAAAGAGGGAGGAGGACAGAGGAAGAGAAAGGGAGAAAGGGACAGAGCGACAGGGGCAGAAGGACAGAAATTAGCCAGACAGCCGAAATCAGAGACAGCAGAAGATACGGAAGACATCCAACCAGGGATTGGAGGAGGAGGAGAATAGAAAAAAATGGCTTCAATATGTGACCAGATAAAGATAAACCGCTATCACAGGAGAGGGATAGGACGATCTGGGTCCAACATTCTGTACGCCACTGTTGCTTCGGGTAGCCCCCGGGCTGTCCTTAATACCAACTGTCCAACACCACTGTTGCGGGGTCAGTACTGGTCGTTTACCCATCTGCCACTGGGTTCACACCACCTCCCCCGTCACGTCACTGTCCTACAGATTTCTGAAGAGGCAGTGTTCCTCCTGGTCATGAATCCTAGTGTCTCAAACTGCCAGGCAGGACACCCAGAAGGGAGGTGGGAACCTCTTTTCTTGCAACTACCTGAGAGCACCAGAGGCCTCTGGGAATTACAGTTCCCTTCAACATCTATCCCTGCTCTACCCCAAGTCCAGCCTCAGTCCAGAATTCTTAAGTGTCTCTATGTGGGCTGGGCGCAATGGTGTACAGCTGTAATCCCAGTGACTGGGAAGGTTGCAGCAGGAGGATGGGAAGTTTGAAGATGGCCTCAGCAATTTAGTGAGACTGTTGAACTTTTTTAAAAAAGGGCTTGGGATGTAGCTCAGTGGTAAGGTGCCCCTGGGTTCAATCCCTAATACCATAGGGGAAAATATTAAGTATTCCTAGTGGGGCAAAGGCATAGTTTGTGAGGAACAGGGATGTTTGAGCAACTTGACCACAATTCTGGAAACACAAAGGCCCTGTGAGAAAGCTGCCACCCAGGGGCTGATGTGAGTGGTAACTGTCTTGTTGCAGATTCAAGAGGGCTTCCGGAGAATCATGTCCCACAACTCCGCAGCTGTCAGTTGCAGGTAACCTGCATACCACTGCACAACCCCAGGGGACTTGCCCTAAGTCATAAACCACCCATGCTACTGTCTACTGGGAATTGTAACCTGAACCATGGAATCCCCACCACCCACAGAAAACAGACTTCTCCTCAGACCACTCCATCTGGGCACTTCCCCTGCCCCAAGGCTTCTGGGAACTGGAGTCCTGAGCCTGGATGCACAGGGCTAGACTTCCCACAGTTGGCCTGTCCTAAGCTCTTTTTTGGTGGTACTGGGGTTGAACCCAAGGTTGCTCTACTACTGAGCTACCAGCCCTTTGGAAACAGGGTCTCTCAAGGTTGCCCAGACTGGCTTTGAACCCGCGGTCCTCCTGCCTCGGCCTCCGGAGTGGCTGGGATTACAGGCGCATGCCCCTGACTTGGCTCTCTGGAAGCTCTTTGTGTCTCAGGTTCTGTCAAGGCTAGGCCTTTAGGAAAAGCTGTCGCCACTGGGCATCGCAGTCCCCGCCCCTGCAGGCCCTGGCATCCCTGTTCCTGGGGCCTCGGATTCTGCAACCCCCAGGGCCTTCATCTTCCAGGGCGCACCTGCAGCAGCTGGGCCCGCACATGGGCTTCCACCAGGTGGCTGCGGCGCAGGTTGCCCACGCGCCACATGAGGCAGAGGCGGTGGTCCCGAAGCGCCACCACCGCGTTCTCGCTGAAGACGAGGGTCTCGTTGCGCTTCTTGGGCTTGGCCATCTTGGCCATGACGGCACCCACGACAAACGCGTCGAGCACGCAGCCGGCGATGCACTGCAGCACCACGGCGGCCACGGCGGCCGGGCACTCCTCGGTGACGCTGCGCACGCCGTAGCCGATGGATGTCTGCGTCTCCAGTGCAAAGAGGAAGGCGGCCAGGAAGCTAGCCACCTGCGAGAAGCAGGGGGCCGGGGGTGGAGGGGCGGCCAGGTCACCATGCAGCGAGGCGATGAGCCAGAAGGCCAGGCCGAAGAGCAGCCAGGAGCCCAGGAAGGAGCAGGAGAAGAGCAGGCACATCCAGCGCCAGCGCACGTCCACGCACGTGGTGAACAGGTCGCTCAGGTAGCGCGCGCCCTGGCCGCCCAGGTTCACGAAGCGCACGTTGCAGTGCCCGTCCTTTTTGACAAAGCGACCGCGGCGTGGGCCCACGGGGGACTGTGCCGGCGCCCACCCGTTGCCGCACAGCCCTGGCCCGGCCTCCTCTTCATCACCTGCCCGGCTGTCCCCCGACTCCTGGACGCCGCTGAGGCGGCGCAGGGCCCTGGCCAGGCCCATTGGGCGGGGGGACCCCCTCCACTTGGCCTAGTGGGGGGCGGGCATTCCGAATCTGCGGAGATAAGAAACAGGCAAGAACGTCAGGGTGCCAGGAATCGGTGGGCTCGTGGGCCGGCATGCGCTCTGTTGGGCCTCCGTGGCCTCACCTGGCAAAGCAGAACGCAATGTCCATGTTTGAGAAGTTCAGCAACAAAGATGACGGTGATGCTGTAGGAGATACTTGTGTGGTGACAACAGCAACAACCACAATTGTAGCAGACATCTATTCCATACTGAATTTATATGTGTTATAGAAATCATACTAAAATTTACATGACTTAGACACTGTTGTAAGCACTTTATGTCAATGTATATACTTAGCCCCACAGAAAACTTTTGAAGTAGATATTATGCCCATTTTACAGACGAGGAAACTGGGTACAGGAAGCTGAAATAACTTGCCCATAATCTCACCAAAGTGAGCTGGGATTTGAATGTAGCAGAATAGCTTCCAGTCTCCACCCTCAGAGGCTGAGCTCTATTCTCAGCATGAAGAGATGAGCTGGGCTCTGAGGTCAGCTGTTTCTCAAAAACAGTCTCCAAAAGCACAAGCAACAAAGGGAAAAATAGATACATGAGAAACTTGTGCTTTAAAGAACACTTCAAGAAAGTGAAACAAACCACCAATGGGAGAAAATAGTTGCAAATCATGTATCTGCTCTAAAATGTCCAGCACTAAGTTGCAATATTTGCAGAGACAAATTATCCAATTTAAAAATGGGCAAAGGATCTATATAATTTCTCCAATAACATATGAATGCCAAAAAGCACAGGGAATGTTACTTAGGCATTAGAGAAGCGCAAATTACCACAGCAAGTAATCTTATTGACTCAGGAGACTGAGGCAGGAGGATCATAACTTCCAAACCTGCCTCAGCAACTTAGGGAGACCCTAAGCAACTCAGTGAGACCCTGTCTCTAAAATCGCAAAAAAAAAAAAAAAAAAGAGCTAGGATGTGGCTCAAGGTTAAGCACCCCTGGGTTCAATCCCCAGTACCAAAACAAAACATAAACCCCCACCACCACCACCACAGTGAAGCCAGGAATGTAATTAACCCAGTGGGAAAATGTGTGCTTCACATTCTTGAGACCCTGGGTTTAATCCTCAGCATTAAAAAATAAAAATTAAGTAGAAACAGCTCTCCACACAATGAACCTAAGATAGTTATTAAAAAAACTAAAATAAAATAACAAGTGTTGGTGAGAATGTAAACAAACTGTCACCCTCATACACTGCTGGTGGGAATGTCAAGTTGTGCAGCTCCTGTGGAAACCCGTCTGGCAGATCCTTAAGTGACTGAACAAAGAGTTACGTTGTGACCCAACAATGCCACTCCTAGGTATCTGTGTACCAAGAAAAATGAAAACAAATGTTCACACAAAAGCTTGCACACAAATGCTCCTAGTAGCACCATTCACAAAAGCATTTCATGAATGGATTAAAAATGTGGTATGTTCCTCCAAAGAACAGTACTTGACAATAAAAAGAAATGAGATACATGCAACAATAAGGATGAACCTTGAGAACATTCTAAGGGAGAGGAGCCAACTGCCAAGGCCATGTATGGTATGATTCCATTTATAGTCAGCCCTCTGTAACCACGGCTTCTGCATCCATGAATTCAATCAAAATTAGATAGAATATATCAGGAAAAACATTTCCTCTGTATTGAATACGTACAGACAAAAACTTTCTCTTCCTTGTCATTTTTCTCTACGCAATACCATATAACATAGTGAACCTAGAGATGATTTTAAGTACCCGGGAGGATGTGTGCAGGTTGTATGCAGATAGTACACCGTTTTATACAAGGCACTTGGGCATCTGAGGATGATGGTATCACAGGGAATCCTGAAACAAATCCCGTGGATGCCAAGGATGGCTGTATTTAAGATGTCCAGAACAGACAAGGCTGTAAATTAATAAATCACACTGAGGGGCTGGGGTTGTGGCTCAGTGGTAAACAACTTGCCTGGTACACGTGGGGCACTGGGTTGGATTTTCAGCACCACATTAAAAAATATAATAAGGGCTGGGGATGTGGCTCAAGTGGTAGCGCGCTCGCCTGGCATGCGTGAGGCCCGGGTTCGATCCTCAGCACCACATACAAACAAAGATGTTGTGTCTGCCGAAAACTAAAAAATAAATATTAAAAAATTCTCTCTCTCTCTCTCTCTCTCTCTCTCTCTCTCTCTCTCTC